CATTAAATTGGACAAATTAAATTGACACTAAAACTCATTTTATGAATACCTTACGAATCACTGATTTTTTGAAAATCGTATATACAGGGTGTTAAAAAAAGAGTGTAAAATATTTAAGGAGGTAAAGTATGAACCAAAATAAGCAGAAAAGTCTCAATAAATATGGGTCCGCCAAGTAACGGTTGCGGAGATATGGAATGTTTTATGTTTTTTAGCCTCTTTTTTTATTTTGCAAAAACGTTGTGTATTTTCTTATAATAGTTGGTTGATGTTTAGTGAAATAAACAGTACGTATTTGACAGTTGTTCTCAGTGCACAAGTTTTCTTTCGCTATGGCTGGTTACTCTAACGCAGAATTAACAGACATGCATTTCATGTATGGTCGTGCTAATGGGAACGCCACCGAAGCGCGACGTCTTTATGTTGACGCTTATCCAAATCGCCAGATTCCTTCACAACGCATGTTTGGAAGAATTCACCAAAGATTGCGTGATACCGGTTCCTTGAGCAAACAGTGCCATTTATCCGGAAGACCAAGGTCGGTATCCACTCCTAGAGCAGAAGAAGAAATTCTAGCACTGGTAGAGCAGAATCCAGGTACGAGTGTGCGGAGAATATCAGCCGAGGTAGGAATTAGTGGTCCTCTTGTTTGGAGAATCCTTCACGAGCAACTGCTTTATCCATACCATGTGCAACGAGTACAGGCCTTAAATCCAATAAATGATCATCAAGCACGTTTGGTTTTTTGCCGCTGGTTTCTACGTCATGATGCTGAAGACCCTCGTTTTCTTGCAAACATTCTTTTTACTGATGAGGCCGGGTTCACAAGAAATGGAGTGTTTAATTTTCACAATACGCATATTTGGGCCGACGAAAATCCTCATGCTCTAATAGAATCTGGACATCAGGCACGTTTTTCATTAAACATTTGGATGGGTATTGTAGGTGACAGGTTTCTAGGTCCTGTTGTTTTACCAAACCGATTAACAGGCGCTGCTTACCTCAACTTTCTGCAGAACACACTGTATGAGTTTTTGGAAGACATTCCTTTGAATCAGAGGCAACAAATGTGGTTCCAGCATGATGGTGCTCCAGCTCATTTTTCCATGGCCGTTAGAGAGCATTTACACCAAACTTTTCCACATAGATGGGTAGGAAGGGCCGGACCTGTTTTATGGCCTCCAAGATCGCCTGATCTGAACCCTCTAGATTTCTTTGTTTGGGGATATTTGAAGACATTAGTGTATGGTACTCCTGTAAATAGCCTGGAAGAGCTGCAGCTACGGATTAATCAAAAGTGTCAAGAAATCCAAACCAAGGAGGGTGTTTTCGAAACAGTTCGAATATCGTTGAGACGAAGATGTCGTGCCTGCTTGAAAATGGACGGAGGGCACTTTGAACATCTTCTGTAACTTTGTTTTTTGTTTGTTAAAAGCTTTCTTTGTCGGTTTATTCCTAATAAAATAAAATGTTTGAAAAACGAATAGTAGTCCATATCTCCACAACCGTTACTTTGCGGATCCATGTTTATTAAGACTTTTCTGCTTATTTTGGTTCATTCTGTTACCTCCTGAAATATTTTACACTCTTATTTTAACACCCTGTATTACAACAGTTGCTTGGAATCAATGTTTCAATGTATCACAAAAAACAAAGTTGATTTATCGCATCGCGAAAGAACAACAAATTGGCATAAAAACGCATTTTCCAGTTTTCTTCTTACTTCTCAAAATATTGCGCAACTTGTAGTCTCCTGTTCTAGTTCTGTATGTCATCTCTGGTCCGGTAATATAGAGCTTTCATAAATGTTTTCAAGCCACGTGACTGCCGAGCTTAGGCAACTAACATTGCAGGGCTGGTACTGATAGCGAAAATTCCCTAAATCTTGGCGTCATCAATATTAATGATTCGTTTACGACAAACGGTTACGTCTACGCTGAAGATAATGCGATCGCTGATTGGTTGAATAGAATCACGTGAAAAATTACACCAATCACAGCCGGTGAAATAGGATATTGTGCTTTAAGGTAATCTCCATCTTATTGTTTTAAGAATTTTTAATTTTACCGAAATTTAATTGCCACCATGAAGGAAATACCTGTTCCAGACAAAATTACTGATCACGTGACTTGTAATCATTTATGAAGGCTCTAGTAAGTTCACCGTAAAAATGAAAATATGAAAAATTTTGCGTTACGTAGACGAATTGATAAAAATTAAAAATGGCAAACATCATAATATTTACAGATATTAAAGATTCACCATACAAACAACGGAAAACATCAAGAAAATCAATCTCAGCCGACCTTGTCACAACTGACCGCAATGACGTCATGAAAATTAGCATTTTGAATCGATCTACCCTACCGTTTCAGTGCGTGTGAACGCAACGTATTTTAGCAAAATACATAATTAATTTTTTTAGCTAATAATAATGACCCTGATTTTCATGAAAGGCGTTAAGACAACTCACAGCGATTAATTTTATATGAAAATGTAACATTGTAGATATGAAAAATACGATAAATGTTTGTATAATTACATCCAAGCCATGTATGACATGTGAAAAGTTGCGTCAACTAGTAGAGTGTATAACGTTGGAAATTTTAAATGACGTCTGTATCAGCGATAATTAATTCAAATTTATGATACTTAAATTCAAGGTACTAGTATAGAAAATGTGACTCCAAGAAGACATACCTTCCATCTACATAATAAATTTTCACTGGCAAACTTCAGAAGATGTAATGGTAACATCAGTATTTTCTATAATTAAAATTAAATTATTAAGAAAACGTTGGGGGAAACGCATTGTTGCGTAAACTCTATTATTGTCCCATCACCCTTATTCACATGAAAATCTCAGGTGGCTCACAGTATGGAAGTGCACCTAATGACTGTTTTACATTGACAATTTATTGATCAATTAATTCATGAAGTCGCTTCATCAAGAAATTGGACAAGTGTAATGCACCTATTCTGCTGTCAAATAACTTCATGAATTTGTTCATCAAGTTCTTGACGAATTAGAGCATGTTCTAATTTTCGTCAATTTCTTCATGAAGTTCAGAAGTGATTTCCAGCCTCAGATCAGTAATGAGGTTATGTTATTGGAATATATAAATAATTCTGTGACGTCGTACTAGTTTTTCATTGTTTTTACTAATTTGTTACTTACAAAAACTGATATTTATATAATATGTGTCAGAACGGTACCGCTGTTGTATCACTACAATTATGAGTGGAAAGGTGACATTTTTGAAATTTATTTGCTTCTTTGATTCATTGGTAGAACTGATTACACACACTGTTTACCAATAAATTCGTGAATTAATTCATGAAAAACTTCGTCAATTTATTCATGAATAGATTGTCAATGTAAATCAGCTATAAGAAAGAAAAAATTTAGAATTTTGCATAACAACTGTCAAATTTAAATGTAGAGTACCGTTATTGTAGAAAACGGGTATTGTTATGCTCCTCCAGATGTTTATTTTGAGATGTTTTTATCACCGGCGTTTGCACCAAAATCCTCGTTTATCCTCGGTGTCCAGGCTCTCGCCTCCTGTTTTCTTGAAAATACGGGATTATCGAACACCTCCCTCATAACATTTCCTCAACAGATGCATGAGCAAGAATACATCGCGGCATCGCGCTTTTCAGTCGTCCTCCATCAATGAATGGTGAGGTGTTCCGCCCAGAAGTTTAGTCCGCACTCTAATTTATTCGCTTTTAACCATACTAGATACAGTCTAAAATGGCACTAGTTTCTTTGAAGGCTTTTAATTGAGCTTTTTTTCTGCTAAAATGTGTTTAGAGCATGTCGAGATAAGTATTCTACTGTGTTTACCACTGACTCTGTAGGCTTTGTCTTGCCTAAGCACTGATCTATAGCCTTAGACTTGCCTAAACACTTTATAAGTGTTTTTGGTCTCTTTAAGTATCTTAATTTAGGGAAGCTTTTTGGAGCTTAATTATTTTTTTGCGACCTTCTTATAGTACCTATCTACCTGGGGTTTTGAAAACTTCTTGGTTCTTGGTTGTATTCTGTGGGGTGTTCGTCGCAGGCTCAGAAACAGCTGGGCGGTTTGGCAACTAGATATGAATTATAGGCCGAAAGCAATATGCTCGCAAAGAGATTTGAAGATATTCGACAATGTTTTGAATTGGGAAAAATTGGATTTATCGTTTAAATATATTAACAATAAATGATTTATTTAATGCAAAGGACTTTGTACAATGAAAATAGAAAAATTTTGAATCGTAATATATGATATCCGCCTCTGGTTAATCAGTTGTAAGATTCAAGAGTAGACGTTCGAACACGTCCTGTGATATCTCCGCAGAGGTCCTGCAACAATCTTCGACTGACATTTACACCATTTACCTTTCCGGATGTCGTCGATCTTTAGAATCTGCTCGACTAGTACAGGTATCTGGCCACTTTAGGATGAAGATTCAGTTTTACTTTGCTCATATTTTTGACATTCCCAGAATTTAGTGTTGAGGCAGCTTTTATGCGCGTCTCGCTCATCGTCTGATGGTGTTTGGGAGCGGTTAGGAGCTTCGTATGCAATTTTAACGAAAATTAGGTGAAAATCTAGAATTCCGCTCTGCGTCTTTAGGTTAATTAATAAAAGTAACTGAAGTACCACTACCAGTCGCATCATTTTCTTTTTGTAACATTTCAGGAGAAAATGTCACTTTTGCTAACCAATTTTGAAAGTCTATCGCAACGTCTCTGTTAGACACTGTATACAGTGCAGCATTGTATTTTATATCCGTAACATCCCATTGTTAAAAAAACAATAGCATTAAAACTGCTTGTTTTTCCTTTATGTTAACTGCAAATAAAAGAATCGAATGCCTTCGCTCATAGTTAGGTGATATTATCCACCGTGAAACCGAAAACCGAAATCACAGTAATTTTAAGGGAGTGCCACGCACACTTGGCTGTTTTCTAGCGAGGTTGTTTAACCTAGTTTTCTGTTCAATTATAGTGTGTGGGGAGACGGCAGCTCTGAGGGCAGTCCTGGCGGCGGGCGCTCCGGTTTCTACGCCAGACGTGCACGGCGGTTACCCTCTCCATTATGCTGCCCAGATGTGTGGCGGGACCAGCAATGTGAGTAGAAAAATAAAAATTTACAGGATTTTGCTTCGTGGACAATTTTTTATGTACTTTCTCACTAGGTACTAGTTTTTGAGAATTTAGTTTTTATAACAGTATCTAACGTTAAAAAAATATAGTCCCTTTGCCTGTAACTCCTACCAAGGAAGAGTATGAGCTAACCTTTTATACAATTAGCAGAAACAGCTGAAATTTTTCTGGAATTTGCTTCTGCAAAATGTTGTATAAAAAAACTAAATATTACAAAAAATTTACCTAATAGCTAATATTCACACATTGTGGAAAATATCCGTAAAGTAAACATCGTCATATAACCTAAACAAAATTACGAACCTTCTAATTTGGCCAGATTTCATGGCAACTAAACTTGCCAATATCAAACTCATGTTATTAATTGTTTTCAACTTTCGCATTTTCTGAGAATTTGATTCAATCCGTTTATGGATTTTCATATTAGAATTGCCCAGGACCTCATGAATTCATAAGATGTCCTGATTATTCGCAAAAAAGTTTGCAACATAGAAAACTTTTTAATTAAAATTATTAGAATATTAGAATTATTTTTTAATAAAAAAGTTCCTATAAACGTAGGTCTTAGAACGCTTCGTTTGATATATATAGTGTGTTGAAAACAAACTGTTTTTAAGAATTTTTCTAAATATCTCTAAAAGACCAACAGATATTAAACTGAAATTTGATATTAATAACACATTGGTTATGGTGAATAAAACAAATATATTTGTTATCCAATTCACCCACAAGTGATGTGCCTGAGGTGGGTTACTGCCCCCTTTAAAAAAATAATTCATACGCCCGTGGATTTTTCTGGAAATTAACATTATTTCTAAATTTCTTAATCAATTCTGAACAAAACAGCTCTCTTTCAATTTTTTATAAAATGAACGGTTTTTGATTAAATTCATTTGGCATAAACTGTTCCAACGATATTGGTAATACATCTGTAAATTAATAAGAAAAATATGATGTGCCCTGAAAATCAACAAAAACGATTAAATGTCATAACGTCATTTTATTTTTGAATTCTCAAATCGAAACTCAGCGGAAGCAACCAGGGAATACAGGATGAGATTTCCAAATAGATGACATCCCCATCCATCGGTATTTGTAAATATTCATCGCCGATTTATTGATCAAGGACTAAGAAATGTTCATGGTGAACGACAAAACAACGTTAATTATCGGCAAGAGATTTTGCGAGTTTTGCACGAATTTAGGAGAGACCCAACAACAAGTACTCGAAGAGTCTCTGTTGCTCTTGATATTTTCCAAACCAAAATTTGCCGAATTTTAAAACCGAATCACCAGCATGCTTTTCATTTACAACCCGTTTTCAAACCTTACATCCGGGTGACGAAGGACGAAGACTGATTTTTTGTCATTGGTTACGCAATTCAATTCGTAACGAATTAAATTTTTTGTGTAACATTTTGTGGGCTGATGAATCCTGTTTACTCGTCGAGGAATTATAAATCTTCATAATCAGCGTCTGTGGGCACATAAAAACCCACATGTAGTTCAACCAAGACATTTTCAGAATGAATTTAGTGTAAATGTTTGGGTTGGAATTTATAATAATTATTTATTTGGACCTCGTGTGAATGCAGAAAACTTTTTACAGTTTTTGCAAGAAGAGCATGACAATATGTGGGAACAAATTCCATTAAAAAGAAGGATAGCTTCTTTTTAACTTGTTGGTTGTCCAGCGCATTTTGGGAGATATGTAAGAAACTGGTTAGATTACCACTTTCCAGATAGATGGATTGGTCGTGAGTTGCGTGGCCTCCACAATCCCCTGATCTCACTCCCATGGTTTTTTTGTATGGGGAATTTTTTAAAGAAAAAGTATATTCAACCCATATTGAAACAAGACAGAAATTAATACATCGCATTGAAAATGCCTATCATGAACTATTAGTTAATAATTATTTTGCTCAGATTAGACAATCTGATGAACGTAGGTGCCGATTGTGTATTCAACAAAAGGACTCACATTTTGAACAATTATTGTAACTTGTTTAACTCTTTTTATGTTTAGAGGAACTTTTCTTATTAAAAAATGATTCTCTGTCAACTGTTAAAATTCATTTAATCGTTTTTGTTGATATTCAGGGCACATTACATTATTCTTATTAATTTACAAATGTATTACCATTGAATCAATGCCAAATGAATTTAACCAAAAACCGTTCATTTTATAAAAAATTAAAGAGAGCTGTTCTGTTCAGAATTGATTAAAAATCCACGGGCGTATGAATTATTTTTTTAAAGGGGCAGTCATTGATGGGTGAAATGAATAACAGATATCTTTGTATTATTCACCATAACTAATATGTTAATAATACCAAATTTCAGTTTGATATCTGTTGATGTTTTAGAAATATTAATAAAAATTCTTAAATAAAGTTTGTTTTCAACACCCTATATCTCACAAACGAAGCGTTCTAAGACCTACGTTTATAGGAACTTTTCTTATTAAAAAATGAATATCAAATTCAACAGTACATGGCATCTTGATTTTGCAAAAATTTTAAGAAAAATATACGTAAAATGTATGTATATTCATTTCAGTATTGCAACATAATTGTCAGATAGGTAAATAATAAAACAGTCGAATCATTGTAGAAACGAATGTCACTTACGGTAAGATACACATTATTATCACTTTATATCGTTATGTGTCAACAATATGTTTCTGCTTTTAAGCTACTACATGAAATCAACAAAGAACTAGATGCATTAGATAAACACGATAGTTTTATTGATTTCATAATATTAAATTTCATGGATAAACTTACAAGATATTATATTGCTGACACGCAGACTCGAAAACACGTTAAAATCACAACATTTTAAAATTAAAAATAGTTATTTTATTTCAGTTTTTCACATGTCTCAAAAGCGGCAGATGAGATACTGATTAGTACTGTTTAGGCAAATGTGCTTCTTAAATGTGTCTGCGGATATTTTACAAAAATATGTATTTTTACCGGCATAATTTACTAAAAATATTGAAAAATTAACAGTTTAAAAGATTGAAACATTTTTCCATTAATTAATTAAGTTTTAATGAAATATATACTTAGCACTGGTGGATATCGAATCTAAAAAATAGTATAATTTATTTATGCTACTTTTCCCAATGTAGGAAAATATTTAAAATACAAAATTTTAAAAATTTATTCCCAGAAAAATTGGTAGATATAGTCAAAACTATACACACAATTCAACAACATTTGTACCTATTTTAAAATAGGTAAAATTTATAAAATATTGAACAAAAATCGAATTGTAACAGTTCCGTTTACTTGGATAGATAACAATTTTCTCATCTAAAGCTGAGAGACGACAATATTATCCATAGCTGCGAAATACACTTCCTAGAATTATTATCATGTTATTTTTAAATTCCAAGTCTCTGTAGTAAATTGCAATAGAAAAGCAAATGGTAAAGAGTAACCGCAAAAAAACCCATTTTTTCGCCCGTTTTTGCGTAATGTGTAGCAAGAACGGGGAAGGTCGTCCAAAGGTCTCCGTGGGCTTAAATTGATCGTCATGAAAAATCTAGGTGAGCATAATTCGATTTTTCCAATATTTGTCCGATTTACCCCTACTTAAGGGGTGGAAACCACCCCTAAAACAAGAAACGTGAGAAAATGGTCGATTGGCGGGAATTTGAATGGAAAGGAAGAGATCACACGGATGTTCTTCCAAATATGCTCAAGGTGAAAAACATCCCCCGCGTGAGGGTAAAACCACCCCAATTGCCGAAAACCGGCGGCAAATGATGTTCCCTTCATGAATTGCCTTTTCCTTATAAATCCAAATGATATGAAATACATGCCCCCATAATTCGTTCTTCTGTCGGATTCTGATCAGTTACCCCTACTGAAGGGGTGGAAACCACCCCTAAAACAAGAAAACAGAAAAAGTTGTCACCAAAATCTGGGTAAAAATTGGCGGAATTCCACATGGCAGGGGTAAAATCAAGAATGCCCTCCTAAAAATGCTCAAGGTGAAAAACACCTCCCGCGTGGGGTGGATTTATCATGAGCATTTTTAGAAGGACATTTTACCCTTGCCATGTGAAATTCCCCCAATTTTACCAAGAATTTATCGACTATTTTTTAATTTTTCTTGTTTTAGGGGTGGTTTCCACCCCTTAAGTAGGGGTAAGTCGGGCAAATATTGGAAAAATCGAATTATGATCACCTAGATTTTTCATGACGATCAATTTAAGCCCACGGAGACCTCTGTACAACCTTCCCCGTTCTTGCTACACACTACGCAAAAACGGGCGGATTTTACGGTCACTCTTTTCGTTCTTTCTCACCTTAAACATTTTTTACTTTGAACTACTTGAACATGACAAAATAACGCGGACTCTCGGAGTACGTAAAAACTATAACGAAAATTTGCTGTTTGCATCTCTACCTCTATCATAGAGACATTTAAAGACGCTTTTGACCAGTATTACCATTAAGTACCCTTAGCCCTGTTTCAGATAAGCGCTGATGGTCTGCGTGCTGGTGATAAGTAGGTGGTGGTAGAGTTGATTGAGAAATAGAAACAAATGTTCATATGTACGTCTTGTATGACAATGTTTCAGCTTGTCTAATTGTATTATTTCATTTCAGTATGAAACATTTAAAAAATATGTAATACCTACTAAAACGAATTAATAGGAAGCTCCACTAAAATCTCATACCACTGTCCTTCTCATTTTATTTAGTAATAGCGTTGAGTGAGAAATAGTACTCTCAGTCAACGGTAACAGGAAGACACAAACGAGTTACTTAAATAAGAAGTTTTCTATGATAACAGTGGCAATTTAAAATTATTAAAATAAAATAAATATATAAGGAGTTTTTAATGATATTATTTATATGATTCGCATTAACTTTAGTAGCAGAATAATATTTAGTGTAGTGATAAAACGCTACACTTTTTTAGATGCAAACACCCTTTTCTCAATAAATAATTGTTTCCTTTGATACACTGACAATTTTTTACATCTCATTAAGCAACATTTTCCATGTCTGTTCAGAAAGCTTTCTTTAAATCTTAAATAATATCTACACGTTAGTTTTATTTAGTCCTATCCTTTTATTGTTAATACATATACTTATTTTATCCCAGTTTATGCTTATTTTGGTTACATTATCGAATACATCTTTCAGTATATATTTTATGTAATACAGAAAAATACATTACAATATTTTATTTAGTAAAAACTGAAAACCGTAACTATTCTATTGGAAAAAAATACATTTTGCTTCTATAATTTGCTGGATCAGATTATTTTTCGTGACTATCACTTGTTGAAAAAGTAAGAATCGATTTTATGATTATCGTTACAAATGAATATTTTGTTTTTCATGAGTCTTTAATTAGTTGCTTAATTACCTTGTAATTACACTTCGGCATCCACCTGACTATCGCCATTATTAAAAGCTTCTTCTGCTTCCCTCAGCCACTAACGATTTATTGGCGTATCTAGATAAGTTTTCGATTTCCAAATATGATTTCATGATTTTTGTAATGTTCGTACCATTGCTATCCTGGAACTGCATATTTCCACAATAAAACAAAGCGATGTAGGTTATAAATTTTAATTTTAAACAGTTTTGCGCCAATAATTGCGTCTAAATTCTTCAAGAGTTAGTAATATACAGGGTGTTCTACAAGTTCTATGACAAACTTTGACAGATGGTAGCTGGGTTAATTTCAAAAATTTTTTCTTATATGAACATAGGTCCGATTCGTTTTTGTTTAGAAATTACAAGCAATTTAAAAAATATAATTTCATTTCAATCAAAGTAGTCTGATAAATAAAAATTTTGAAAAGTATTAAGCCCTACGTCATCAATGAAATCAAAAATGTTGTTCTATACAGATCTGCATTTAAAAGATTATTTAAAACATGTATAGGCAGTAAATTATTGTTGAAAATGCTACCCCAAACGTTGACACTGAAACGTTGCTGATATCGGATTGATCTAATTGCATGCGAATTTTATAACGTCCAGACATGTTCATTACGATCATATTTATATCGTCCCTAGTAAAACACGCTTCATCAGACCACATGACAAGCGAAATGAATTTATCATTTTGCATGTTGTTGAAGTAACCAGCGACAAAATTCTAATCGCTGAGGAGCATCTCAAATATGTAACGCTTGTACATTTTGGCGATGAAACGAAAATAACATTTCTTGCTTGCTATACGCCGAACACTAACTGAAGAGTTGTCAATGACAGCATCTATTATATCTTCTTAGCGTGGTTACTTTCATGTCGAAGTCTACGAAATGATGCACTAAAGACTGTGTGGACAGGTTGAAGTCTATTTGGGTATCTTCGTTGGTATTCTCGGGCTGCTTGTCTGGCGTTCCCATTGAAATACCCAAGTACTTTATTTAATACCTTAACGCTAAGTGTCAAATTAATAAACAAGAAACACAAATAATAATTATTGTTATAGTAACCATCATTTTTATTTATCAGTCTACTTTGATTGAAATATGAAATAATGAATATCTGATAAAATACGTGAAATATTTTAGGAAAATCTTTTTAAAAAGATTATAAAGAAAAGAATAACCCACAGAACACCTAGACTGTCCGTATCTATTTCCAATGCACGGGTATCAGTGAATGCAAAATCCGGGGAAGTGGAGTGTGGAAGGCAATCTGATCGCGCGCATCTTTAAGCAGATCCGGATTAAGTAATATTTTTATTACATATTAAATATTATACTGCATCTTATAACAAATATTCAATTTTAAGTTTGTAATTCAGAAAATAGTATATTTTAGTGTCATATTAAATAAAACTACAAAATAATTTAAATATATTTATTATCCTCTACATAATATTAATTTATCTAATATTTGTCTTTTCGTAGATTTTACCGAATTAAATAATTTGACTTCATGATTTATTCGTACATCGATATACTTTTTACATTCAGACCTTACAAGTTCTATTAAATGATTACAATTTTCAATTATGTTCACATTCAGAAAGTTTTTTAATACATGATAAACAATTTTATTTTTCTGTAGCTTAGGTGTCCTGCTTTCATCATTATTTAAAAATTTTATTAATTTTTATGTTTCTTAGCATATTACTACATCTCGATGGATACGTCAAACAACCACGATCTTTAATAAAAATTAATTGACTGTATGAATACTGAATCTGAAATTAGTTTTATTTGAGATTTTTTTTAATGGAAAAAAATATTTAATTAATTTTCAGCTATCTCGAAATGACGGGAATTGGTAAAATTTCATAAAAATTTAATTCAATTTACTTCATAAAGTAAATAATTACTAAAAATATTTTACAGTAATTCATTCATTATTTTATAATAACAATATCACGTTAATCACTACACTATGTGGGCGAACAAAATTATAAAGCTAACCCTGGAAACTTGTGACGTTAACCGAAAAATGGCGTACATATTTACCTTTTATATATTCCTTTCTTTTACTTACCTAAAGAAGGAAACTTTTCGCCTCTCTTCACCAACTCGATCACTTCTATTTATACAATGTTTTACAATACACTTGCCCATGATAAAACGTCTAATTATCGATATCACAGCGATGCGTACACATCAAATGCTAGAACACGACTGAGCGCTGGGCTTCAAATCAGGCTCCAAAGTCTTTTCACCAAAGTCGCTCTATAAGCCAGTCTAGGTGGTTTGTGGAATAACCCCATTAGGTAAACTATTCCTAGGAACAAAATTTTACGTTATTTGTTCGGTTGAAGAACATTTAATAACAAAATATCCTCGTGAACTAATCCTAAGAAGTCTTCTTCTAGGACAAAGACTCCAGCTTGGGCATGCAAGTCCTTCAATCCCTGCTCACCCACAAAGACATCGTGGTGTCTGTAATGGACGGCGACAAAAGACAGCCGCTGCTGTGGGCAGCCAGCGCCGGCTCCTCCAAAGCGGTACTCGCTCTGGTAAGAGCTGGAGCAGCCGTGGAAGCGGCCGATAAGGACGGGTTGACTGCACTACATTGCGCTGCTTCCAGGGGACACACGGACTGTCTGGACACGCTCCTAACGCTGTGTGGAGCCTCCCCGGATGTTATCGATAGCAACGGGTGCACAGCTCTTCACTATGCCGTCACTCTAGGTAAGAGCTATTCATCATTGTTGAGATATTTCATAAACTGCACACGTATACGCATACCGCTTTGCTTTTCCAACAGTTCCTGGCGAAACACAACACTACCCTATTCTCCGGAGTCTGGAGGATAGGGTAGTGTTGTGTCCGGAGTCCGGACATGACTTCCGTGGCTTTTTCCTGTTACCCAAACTTAAAAGAATAACGTTTTTCAACAATAGATGAGATGATAAAGGCAATATCACAAATTGTGCTCAAGACGATACCTAAAGAGACGTTCCATCAGTGTTTCTCAGACAGAAAACTACTTGGCATAACTTTATAATATCACAGGGAGACTACTTTGAAGGGGATGGGATAAAAATTGAAGATTACATAAACGCTTTATGAGAAAATTAACAATTCCCGTTACTTTTTTATCAAATCTGGTACACAATATAAAACTAAAAAGAATTTGGCGCACAGCTGTGACATACTAAACTATACTTTAATTGCGCCCAAACCTGAAATTTTGACGTGTAGGTATATGAAGTTTTGAAAAGAAAAGATGATTTTGAATTAACTACGCAACAATAAATTATCGCGAAAAATATCCGAAATATATTTTTTTTGTAAAAAGCTCTCAGGTTTTCAAAGAAAATATTTCCAAAGCCCTTTAAAATGTCATTAGGTGTGTAGATTTTCAACATTGTTTAAAAATGAATGCCACCATTCGATTTTTTACAGTTTTTTTTACATAGAATTTCATTATAAAAATAGGTGCTCTCTAAAATAAATATTAACTCAAAAGCATGTTACCAAAATTTCTGCAAACTGATAGCGCCTATCTTCCTAAATTTTATCAGGCCACGCGGACGCTACGGCCCTTCTACTAGCGCACGGGGCCGACCCCAACCGCCAAGATCGGAAAGGAAGGAGCCCAGCGCACTGTGGCTGTGCCAAAGGTCAATTCGAGACCGTTAAACTCATAGGGGCGCATCGCGCCAAACTGTGGCTGAAGAACGCCAGAGGAGACCTGCCGCTGCACGAAGCCGCAGCGTCCGGCCGCAGAGAGCTAGTGAAGTGGTTGCTGGATATGAGACCCAGCCAAGTGAATGCGAGGAACAACGACGGTAGGTGTCCGCTTCACATGGCGGCGCTGAACGACAACGCTGACATGTGTAAGGTGAGTAAGTCATACATGCATAATTTCTTTGTATATGACACCCGATATGACCCAATATACAGGGTCGGAAAGTCCCCATGGTTGTTCACAAATGAGAAGTGGATCTTATTTGTGGAAGGGCGAAATGGGCTGTGACTATTAGATGCTTTCATTATAGCCATCTTTCTCTATCGCACGGATTTCTATGACTTTCTTTATCGCTCTCACGTAACGGCCGATGAACCATGGGGACTTTCCAACCCTGTATATTTTCAACACTTGACTCCAGAATCGCAAAACAACTCCGGCGAAAACGCTACGGCCATCCCAGCTGCACACCCTTATCGACGTAGTTGTACACCCTTCCAAGATTTGGAAAATTTATAACAATGACTTGGAATCCATTATTATAAATTTGCCCTTTTTTGCCTTACAAAAAACTATACTGATCTACCGTCCATAGAGAGAAAATCGCTCCTATGTGCCTTGGAAAACTTAGTTTCCACACCAAGGTTTGCATGCATTTAAACATCGACAGAGTACAGATAGCTAAAATGTAGAGGTTCCCCTTTTCCTCCCCACTGCCACCCCAAGAACCGTAGATTGTCCGGATCACTTGTGTTCGACAGGGAAAGGTCCAACCTACACAACAACCCTAAAATCACTCCGATCGAACTCCCCTGCGCGACCGAACATTTTATAGTTTATACCCCCCTATACCCTGTTAGATTCTACATATTTTTCTAACATCTAGCGTTACACTACCCATTTCTTAAACATTTCCAATGCTTACACATTGAAAAAGTGGTTTAAAGCAAAAGCCGCAAGGCATAATCCACAAAATTGAAAGTGAGTGACCCTTAAATAAACTATGTACAATATTTTAACAAAATTCGTATCTCAGATAAAGATTTGGGGAATAAGTATTGCCCGCTTTTTTTAATTTAAAAATTCAGATGAAAATTAAACAAACGCACTGTTAAATTGACATATATTCGAAAGGGGACTTATTAGCTCTATCAGATTGTTTTTGGTTGCTTCGTTAGATTTAGTCTATGTTCAGCGAATAGTCGTTCAGCGGACAAATATTTCGTTGGTCAGCCCAATCAGCTGATTAGGAATGTTGGGCAGGTTTTACAGTTACTAAAGGCCGTTGAACGAATTGTTTGACTAAAGAAGTTTGACCGAACTAGTACGACCATCGTTGAACACAGCCTTAATTGTGGTGAATTTTCATTCATTTGAAATGGGATATTAAATTGATACAATTTTCATTTTCGGCCCTTGCTTCTTTTTGTTTTTAAATGAGACGAGGAAAACGCTAAAGCGGCTCAAGCTGCTGGGGAACTTTGTGCCTTATGATGCGATAAATGAACGAACAGCCCGTCTACGGTTTTCGCGTTTTAAAGAAGGTAATTTTAACATTAAAAGACATGAATCGTTCTAAAGAGCAATTCAATCAGGTCCTTCACGAAATCCAAGACAATGAACAAGAGAATTGGCTCAGGAGGTATGTGATCACAAAACAATAGTAAGCCACCTGCATTCGATGGAAAAAGTCCCACATGTTTTGAAAGAAAACAATAATAATCCACGTTCCGCAATTGCCTCTGATTTGCTAGTCATTAACACATAGTCGTAAGCAACGTTTTCTTCTTCGCATTGCCACTGGTGATGAAAAATTGTGTTTGTACGTGAACTTGAAACAGAGGAAAGTATGGCTAAGCTCCAAAAACCAAGCAACTCCGCAAATAAGACCAGAACTTCATCCTCGAAAGACAATGTTATGCGTTTAGTCGACTTGGAAAGGGATTCGTTATTACGAACTCTTATCAAAGATTCAACGCAGAACTCTATAACCAACAACTACTGTAACTCCACGTGGTACATATTCAACAAAAAAGACCTGATCGGCGATACAACGTTCTCTTACAACATCACAATGCGCAGCCACATGTCGGCAATATGGACAAAGTGCCCATTCGGAAGTAGAATTGGGAAGTTCTGCCCCAACCGCCTTACTCTCCCGATCTCGCGCCTTCTGATTTTCACCTCTTGCATTCTTTGTCAAACTCCTTACGCGGTGTTTCTTTTAACAACAACAATTAGTTAAAATCTTTGGATGTGAGGGTTGCTTTCGCTGTACAGCAAGAATAAAACGCTCTCTCAACGGTAAAAATAAAGTATTTTATTGAAAACTAAATTGTATAGAAAAGGACGCGTTGACGGGGTGAGTGTTCGTTGGAGAGTCCCTGTTTGTGGAGTCGGTCATAGGTTCATAAGTAGCTTGGTAATCGCTGGCAGAAGTCCCTGGTCCTTGGCGCCACTCTGCCGGGGTCGTCTTCCGGGAACCCTGTGGTGCGTCCGGCGGCGTTCTTGCCGTAATGCTTAAAAATGGGTCACTTGCGAACATGTGTACCCACAAATGAGTTTATGCGAGTCAAGATCGAAGGATTTTTACAGAGGAGGCATCTAGAAACTTGTTGAACGTTGGGAGAAGCTCATAAATAACGATGGAGAATACATCACCTAATGATAACTGTGGAGTTAATAATCTTAAATTTGAAAAAAAAACGAGCATTACTTATTCTTCAACCTAATACTTGAAAATTATAAAATTACATTGTATTTCATCATTCGACTATGAAAACAATTTTCAGATGCACGTTTCACCTTTCAACAATCATTATCAACCTTATTTAAGTAACAAAATCCATCAACGCTTTTACCCCATTAGATTTTTCATTTTCCTCAAGTCAAGTCTAACGATGGATTATGTTCTTGTTGTTTAGTGACTTTTCGAACCAGAAGTCATTCAAAACATTTATAAATTAACAAAAAACCTAAGATACAAAACATTAACAATGCTGCAACTTACATTAGAAGAAAAAAGTGATATTTCTAATTTTGAAAATCAGTTTTTATATTTTTTAACTAAAATACTAATTCAAGCTCAAAATTTGATGTTTTTATGTTTCTCTAAATTTTGGTGTTAAATGGAAAAAATATAATTTTTATGATAATGATATAGGTACTTAATAATAATATTTTTTTATAAAATTTTCTACAGATATGGACTTGAAAAAAACACTTCTTAGATTTCATTACAGTTGACATAATTTAAAAGAAATGATTTCAGAGTTTTTAAATGTAATATTTTATTTTTCCCGAGAAAAAAAGTGTTTATTACAAAGTTCAAACTCACAATAATTACTTTAAACTATACGATTTGTTCCAATAGAACTGTTATTGCCGAATCCGAAATTATCCTTTCTAGATTGTCGTGTATACAAACACAGGTATCCGTAAACTTGACATTGACGATATATTATGTTAGAAACAAATATTCAGACTTGACGTCTGCTACATTAACTCCTCTTGACCTAATACCACCCTAAAAACTAAAAATATAAAGCAGCTGTTTAATGTTCCTTTAATATTAATTAGGCCACTATCTTGAAACACAAACCACGTAACTAGGTACATATATCATCGTCCATTAAGTAAGGGTGAAACGGCAAAAGTAATAAAACTGCGTCATTAATGCTGCATATATTATTTCAGAATTAATTTAAAAACGTCCCTAAGACGGACATATTTGCGTGGAAAATATTTTTGTGGCACATGCGTGGGTTGCAGCTATTATGAAGTTTGTTAAAAGAGATATATATATGTATGTCAGTTTCTGTAAGCATTTTTTACAAGCGGTACGTGGTGTACACTGAGGGTTTGTCGCTTATATTTCTTAAACATGATTTAGGTCTATTGCCAGCTCGACTTGTTGAAGCAATCAAGAAAATTTACAATTTTCCTATGAATCTAAGAATTTTTATACAGTTTCCAATATTTATAAGTGCATTTTTTATAAACCAAATGTAGTGTTTATTTTTGTGTATAAAATATTGTGAAGATATTAAAGTTAGTGAGCGTATCTATTTATAATATTTTCTTCTGGTGGATTACTAGATTGTACTCGTAAAGATGTTACTGGTATTATATTTCATCAAATTAAATATACGAGGGCGCATTAATAGACGCAAATGAAGAGAAGCTGTTTTTCTGCCCTTGTTGCAAGGGTAAATCGAAAATATAAATCAGCAAAACAGCGGTTAATCGTACTTAAGCAACTAATATTCAAGGTATAATAGATATAAGTATGTATATGATTTTTCACATTTCGAATAAGTTTTGACGTTACGATTAATTTTTATCAAACTTTTATAACCTTTAAACAATGAATTAAATTAAAATTGGAATTAATTATATTTGTGGTTGTAAAGAAACACGTAAACAAGGTGTTTTACCAATTTACTTTATATTATAGAAAATACACCAATAATTAGAGTATTATATTTTTCTAATTGAAACATTTTTAAGTTGGACGCTTTGGTAATTTATTAGGGAGAAATGTATAGACATCTTTCCTAGTTTTTTTATTAAGGACCAATCAATGTGCTGTATTTTTCTCTTTTGCGAGTAATAACATATGCCTGATTGAATAACAAACTAATTGTGGTTAACAGTGGACTGTATATTATATTTTTAATGCAATTATGAATTACATAACAAACGTGGTGTCACTTTGACACTTACTAGCCAACCAACATCTTTAAAAACTGTGAAACTACCATGCGGTCACAGAGGCATGACATTTAATGTTATTTAAAGTTGCCTGCCAAAGGCTTATCTAGAATAAGCTACAACATAGGGTGACTGAATTGAATCATTTTTGATATACAGTGTGTACAGATTTGATCCGGATCACCAGTGTAGAATTTTACAGGGTGGGTCGGTTTTAATGTCAATTTTTCAAATTTTTGTCAAATCGTATTACGGATTCAGCACCATTTAAAATCCAAATCCCCAAAATTTCTTTAATTTATGTCGTTGCATGTTTTTTTTTTTATAGAGCCTCAAAGTCCCAAAAACTGAAAATTATTATTTTAGTTTGAGGCTTTTAGAAATGAGTAAAAACAGTAAAATACAATTTAAAAAATATTGTGAAATGTCAAATCAAGACA